TGTATTTCAGTTAGGAAGAGGTACTTGAAAGAAATTGTTTTTTCTATACACATGATGTGAGACAATCAATAGTGCTTTAGTCTGACAAGTACTGTCAATATCCATTGTCACAGTTCAGAAAGTCATTAATGGATAGTTCTTCAAAAACCAATGCTTTCAACACATTAAAAGTGTTCAGATATACTGTACCAGGCAGGAATTAATCATAGGTAAACCCCTGTGATTTGGTATAAATGTTTTGTAAATTAAAAGTGAAAGAAAAGTCATTGGAAGGAGTGTGAGATAACGTTACGTGTCATTAGAAAATCCAGTAAGATATGAAGCTGTTTAGGAGATACTAAAATATTTTATATTCTGAATACAGGATCAGCCTAGAATGTCTCACCCAGGAAAGACTCTGCTAAACATCCGTTGTCTAGGTACAACACTTGTGGCCCTTAGACAACTTCTCTACTAAATTCACAGAAGGTAATCACTTAACAAACACTTAAATAAATCTTTCCCCTTAAAGGTCTAGAGCCTTCTCTGCATCTTTCAGTTGTGCCCATGCCAAAATCCTAAAGAAAGGCTTTCACAACTTCACCTATGTTAGCTATTGCTTCAGCCTACTCAAGCAATAATATGTTTATGATCATTGCATCATATAGACATTTAGTGCATTCAGATATGACACCCAATCCTTCATCTGTAAATCTCAAAAGTTCCATCAACTCTGATAGTGCTGTTTTTGCAAAATGGTGTGATTTATGAGCAATGCATTAATTCTTTCCTTCCGCCTGTCTTCTTGTGTAAAAGCTATATATATTATTAGGAATATTAAGGCTAGATTTTTGGAGTTGAATAAGTATTCAGAGGATTTATATAGGCCCCCCAAAAGACAGGTCAGTTTTTATCTTGACTTAATATTCTTTTGCAGAGAATTTAGCCTCTAGTTATCCTTCCTAATTCAGTCAGTGCTCTTACAATGCTATTTAACATCAAGAGCCACAAATAAGTTCTTTCTTTTATGCCTAATGCCCTGCTTATACTATTTTCTTTTTGTACCAGTTCTGTATTACACTTCTCTAATGTGGTAAGCTGTTATGATTTAATGTACCTTAATTCTAGAGCAGATAGTAAATTGCCTGAGGAAAGGAACTTGCTTTCTTTTTTTCATTTATCTTTTAATACCTGGAGAATAAATAAATACCTCCCTAATAAACTGACCAAAATCATAAAAAAAACGTGAGGGGGGGTTGTTTGTTTTTGGTTTTTTTTTGGTTTTGGGTTTTTTTTTTTTTTTACGTCTGAGGGGACCCAGTTTATTCCAATCCAAATGCAAGCTTGTGTAATTCCAAGCTGTGCTCCAGGTATGCTTTTGCTTCTGTGTTGGAGTATCCTACAGCCACTTCCAGCAGAAAGAAGTTAGCATAATATTGTGTTTACTGTTGGTTTTCCCCCTATGTCTACTGTAAAAATGCCCCATCTCCTGTAGTTTCTCTATCTCCCTTGAATATTATTAGTAAGATGCAAAAATACTTCAAAGAGTCATGTAAAGGTAGGGGAATTATGCTTCTGTTCTGTGTTGGTTTCAAAGCACTTGTGTGGCTCTGTCGATGCAAGTAGCTCCAGAAATAGAGGATATCAGTTTATTTAGTGCAAAGAATCAGATGACACAGCTGGGCAGTTTATGCCTGGGATTTGAGAACAAGTATTAGATTTATTTCCTATTATTCTATGCTTAGAACCTTAAGTGTCCTGTTTTTCATCAAATACTGTGCTGAACTGCTTTCCACTTTTTTGCATTGCCTGAAGCTAATCAGCTTTCTTTCATGGAGGCATCTTCTGCCCAAATCCACAACATGAAATTTTAAAAAGAAGATACTACAAACTATATATTTATATATATATATAGTGGCTTTTCAGTTTTCTAACTGATTTTTTTTTCCCTCTCTTCGAAGTAGCATTTGGCCCTCTTTCTATTTCCAAATATGATAGCAAAGTCATTTTAATGATAATGTGAGAAGAATGGTTTGGCAAGAGAAGGGTTATTTCTAAATGAGGTCCTAACAAGAATATTTCTGGCTAAACTTGGATTTGGAACATGCTATCTAAACCCTTGAATTTCTGGGAGATTTGGAGTTTCCCTCTGGTGAGTCATGCTTAATAGAATAAAATGAGAAAATCATCAAAATTGGCTTTGCTGCTGTTTTTAGCTATGTACTATACCACCCAACCTATAAAATGCAAAACATCCATGACAATAATTATTCCTACCTCTAGATGTAGTTTTAACACCATAATTGCTGTTTAAGGTATGAAAATTCTGGCTGCGTTAATGCATTTTTCTAAGCAGAGAGATCTTTACCTTGTTATCATATCCTAGCTTATTCTATCTTGCTATTTGCAGAATTACCATATTCACTTCAGTTAAAATATCTTAATAAATTCTGTGTACATTTAGAGCTAAGAATGTACTTAAAGTGGGCATAAAGCTTTCCAGAGTCCTGCAGAATGTGAAATGCGGCAGGCATCTAAAGTCACTCCTGAGATATTTTCAGTCCTGCATCATTTGCAATTGGTAAGCTTCACACTGTAAGTCAAGAAAAACCAAATCTACGTATGAATTGCTGTGGACAGAATAACCCGAAGCAACAAGAAAGTCCCAAAACTAAGTACAATTCACTTCACTGTTTCAAAGTACCATTAAGATGCAGAATTAGAAACATCCATTTGTTGTTCTTTTTATAGCATGGCCAAGTGACTTGGAATTTTAGCTTGTCCCTGCCAAGGATTGCTCAATTTTGAACAAAAAGTCCTCAACTATAATGTTAAAAAAGCACCAGCCATCAATTGAATGCTAATCTTTATATTCTATGATACATCGCTCCAAGAATGCTCCATTAAAAAAATGTGAATTCTATTTTTCATAAGTGATGGATTATTGTACCAAGCTGTGTATTTTCCAGTAAAGTGTCCTTTTATTTGTCCTGTGCGATTACTAGTTTGTGGAAGTATGTGTGGGGTCATTTTAGTGCTGTGGGAAAATGGAGCACTCTTCTGTTAAAATCAGTAGTGAAATCAGAAGCAAACTATGCTCTGATCATCATAGGCATGTGTTTAAATATTGCTTTCCTTAATTGGCTATGTTCTATTTACTTAAAATGAACAATTTGGCAAGTTTTTCTCCCTTGACAACAGCAAAGTGTAAACCATTTTATAAGTTTGGCTGTTAAAATCAGATTTGTAATGTAAACCACAATATTCCAGGGTTATTATCATCGTTTAACCAGTTATTTTAGCTTGCCATTGTTTTAGACTTGTGTACCTTTAAATATTCCAGTTCTGTTTATACCTTATGCAAAACTTCTTACTATAAAATGGCCCAATCATTTTGATTATAATTTGCTTTCTGTAAATCTCTTCCCTGAATCCTCCATATGAAGATCATTGCATTATAGAGGACATCTGCTCTGGGCAGGGAATGTTATTTGGGGTCCTTAGAATCATAGAATCCTTAAAGTTGGAAGAGACCTCCCAGCCTTCTTTTCTCCAGGCTGCACAGCCCCAGCTCTCTCAGCCTGTCCTCACAGGAGAGGTGTTCCATCCCTTGCACCATTTTTGTGGCCCTCCTCTGGAGATGCTCCAACAGGTCCATGTATCTCCTGTACTGAGGACTCCACATCTGGATGCAGTAATCCAGGTGAAGTCTCACCAGCACAGAGTAAAGGGGCAGGATCACCTCCCTTGCTCTGCTGGCCATGCTTCTTTTGATGTAGCCCAGGATATGTTTGGCTTTCTGGGCTGTGAGGGCACATTGCTGGCTTATGTCCAGCTTCCCATCCACTAATACCCTCCCAGGTCTTTTTCAGCAGGGCTGTGCTCAATTCTTCCACCCCCTAACTTGTATTGGTAGTAAGGGTTGTCTTTAACCAGGTGCAAAATCTTGTATTTAGATTTGTTGAACATCATGAGGTTCACCTGAGCTTCTTGGAAGTTCTACAGAAAGGGAAAACAGATCAATTCTGCAAGATCAGCTTGTGGAGAATCTCTGCTTTGGTAGATTTTTAATATATCTGTCTATTTATTTATTTGTTTGTTTGCTTATTTGTTTATTTCTGTCTAGGGCAAAAGAGACCAAGACAAGGGTCAGACAAGAGTCCTGAGGCTCAGGTGGTTTGTCAGAAATTTCTAAAAATCTTCTTGTCCTGGGAAACCTATGCAGGTCTTCCGATGGCTTCTCTGTTTCTTCTGGAGCATCCAGCAATGTGCAGAATTTCTTCTTGCTGCTAATACTGCCTATTTTCATTGCTGTGATGGTGCCCTGTAAGCACCTCAGCAGAGAAGAAGTTAAATTTATGCCTTTGAAACTTCCTCCAGGGGATTTTCTGCAGCTGGGTTCTATGTCTTTTTGACACAGAGCAGGAATAAATTGAGCTCAAAATGTTTCTCAGTTTGGTAAATGCCTAAATATAATAAAATATAATCATTAGGACAGGAATACTTTTCTTTCCATAAATTAATGCATCTTGCACACATTTCATGGCATACAGCCATGATTTCTATAACTGCATTAAATATATATATAACGCTTAATCCATCTTGGCAAGAGAACTCAGTCCTTTGCTAGTGGAGTAACCATCCATCCTTTCTCTTCGCAAGCAGCATGGAGCTAATAGTGCATAACACACTTGGAGTCTGGACTTTTAGTTGAAAAATCATCCATGTGAAACTTGTGGAATTCCTGAGCATTTCATGAGTAAACTGGTAGCCATCCAAATACTTATAGGCAATAAAAAATACGGCTCTGTAACTAACCAGCAGAGTGAACTTGTTATGTTTATTCAGAAAAGTATTAATCAGACTCTCTGTACTGTCCAACCAGCTACACTGCTGACCTACCGCATGACTTTACTAGGGTGGTTTTGGCCATTGCTTTCCAAGAATATTTGAGCAAACTGTTATTATTAATACTTTATAAATAAAATTTCACTGAGGCTTTTTCTTTTGTTTTCCTTTAGTTTTCAGGCTGAACTACAGTGCTTCTGACTCAAATGACAGAAACCGAGTTAAAAGCAGATTAAAGAAGTTTATCTCCCGAAGACCATCCTTGAAAACGTTGCAAGAAAAAGGACTGATTAAAGGTGTGTTCTCTTTTATAGTTTCTGGAATTAAAAGTAAAAATTTACAAATGAATTTGCTTCTTTCACTCTCAGCTAAGGGCATATGTGCATCGAACAAATGGTTTTGTTGATGTTTCTCGGAAAATTTGCAGTGCTGAAATATAGTGAAAAAATCAGTATTTGGTTACATATATCTGTGCTTAAATATTTAAATTTAATGCTTATTTTTTTCTGCTTTCCTTTGCTTTTGGTAGAAGCCTGTTCACCTAATATAGTCACTCAACATGCACCATGCCAGTCAGTGTGCTGCAGAACTCCATTTCTTTTTAGGAAACTCATGCTGGTATAGTTTGCTATTTAGAATGAGCAATAGGAAGTTCAGATGCTGTGCTGGCTAATTTCTTTTCTAGGGCAGGCTGGAATGCTTCCTGCTCGCTTCTCATTATTTTTCTAACTTGCCAACAAAATACATTTTTAACAACTTAAAATTTTGCCAGTGAATAATAAATGCTTTGAATCAGAGATCTTTTCCTGCCTCAGTTTGGTCAGACGTCACTTTCACATATCCTTAAAAAATGGTTGCTTGGATAAAAAGTGTTTGAGAGATCATTCACGAAGTTTTCTCCCTAAAAGCTGGTAGTTCACTTGAAGGCAGTAGCATGCTGACCACTAATAATCAAGCCATGTTTTCAAATATTGTCTGGACTAATGCTTTAAAAATTTACGCACTCCCAAATTATTATGTGTGAAACCCACAACTGCACATGCAAATTGACGGGAAAAAGGCATTTTGCCAGCAGCCCCTGTCAGTCTCTGGAGTGTGAGTTTTCCAGTGGTGTGTCAAAAATGGCAAGGGGTGTTGCTGGTGTGTGTGAAACTGGTCTGTCCTGAGCCAAGAGACTGACCCCAGCCAACACAAGCTGAAAAAGCCCAAGAGTTAAACTCCAGCTGGGCCCCTTGTCGGAAGAGAAAGAGGGAGCTTTGTGAATTAAGTTTGTACATATTAGATATGTGGAAAAATGTTCAGCAAGGTGTTTCTTCCTCTAAGGAAGTCTTCAGTGCTTAAAACCATTATATGCTGTAATAGTGGGCTTTTGCTTCTAACTTCCACAGATGCTTTAAAAATGCCATAGATACAAACACATGGGTGTGAGTGTGCTCAGCTTTCAGGATCTGTCTTTAAACAATTGTACTGTCTGATTTCAGAGTATTGCCTCTGTGAAGTACTCTGTGGGTTGAGGGTGGGATTTGAATGCATCCCATTAGTTTGTTTCAGTTATTATAGTAATAGAGTAGAAGTTTATAATCTTTTAATTTCTGGATTTAAGGGTGTCTTTTTTTATTATTTTTTATTTTTATTTTTAAGTTTAATAAAGTGTGTCTGATGAATCTCCTGCTTACAGGAGGGAGTGTTACATAGGGATCAGATGTGATCCCTGCTAACAAATCCACATTCATTAGCATAACTCAAATCCATCCTCTAATATATCTCTCCTCTAGGAAAGCCAGATGCATTTGGTTTTGGCTACACATGTGTTAAGCTCTTGATTCATAAACATAGCTTGGTTCTACCTGAGATAATCTTCTATGGAAAGCCAAGATGAATGATTTGGGGCACAGTAACTCAGGTTCGGTACTTGGCACAGTTTTATTACTGAACTAATGTTACCATTAAGAAAATGTGTTAGTTATATACTATGCAGTTTCATTAGGATTAGGTTTTGGCCATGCAAATGAGGCAGCATTCGTTAGCACAGCTTAATTCCAGTCTATGGTAAGTCTATGTGAAATGCACATTCGATAAGGTTCCTCCATTGTCTTCACCAGAGTTTATCCCTTAATCTGTTAAAATGTTATAAAAATGCAGTTGCAGTGTTTATACACAGACTACTTTAAAATGGTAATTTTTAGATTCACATTAGAATATTTTTAAATCACAAAATGCAAACAGCAAATGAAAAAAATGAGAAGATTGCCAGATTTTGTATTGTAAGATGCATCTATGTATTTTTTCTAAAGGTGAATGAAATGGCTGCAGATGCCTCTCAAAACTGTTTGCTTGTTTCTTAGGGGAAAAACTGTTAATGAATTTTTACAAGAAGAAATTCCTCCAGCTCCGAGAACACTCATACTAACTTTTATCCCGTAGGGAAATGCTTCTGTCAGAATTGCAAATCCCTTAAAATAGGGGCTCATAATAAAAGTGCGTCTAAAGCCTTGCAGGACATCTCGGTACCAAATTTCTGACAAAGAGCTGTTCTGTGTGCTCGTGAAGAATTGATATAAATATCTATGAAGCGTGCGGTGTTAATTACTCTAAAGCAGTGGCACTGTAGGTGATGTGAAAACCTTCACTTTTCATCAAGTGCTATTCATATTTGCCAAGGGCACTATAAAGCTCTCAAATCTATATTGATTTTTTACATTGTATGTCACGTTGGAACCAAAACTCCAATAAATTTAACACGTAAATTATAGTCATGAGTAAATACATTTTAAGGTGGTAAGTTCACTTAAACACAGTTCTGTGAGCTGTTAGTCACTGATGTGTACACACTTGGCCAGAAGACTCGACACATTTCTCCGCATTAACCAAATTTGGGAATACAGGCTTCAAAATTAAATAGCAGTTTGATCTCCTGGGGTACTTTGTTCTGCCAACACTATTATCAGAAAATCTAGGAATTATGTGATTGTCATTTAACTCTTAACAAAACTTTGTTCTTGTAAGATGTAGCAAATATCTGTAGTGAATATAGTGGGTGTTTATTCTTTAGAATAAGAAATAGGTGGATGATAATCAAATAAGGGAATGTGTAAATGTTAGTTGTTTGGTTGGTATGCTACTCTTTAGCCTATGAGAAGCCCATATGTGAAGAGCACATTGGCTCCATTTGTTGCAGTGGGCTGGTACATGGGGCTTTTCATGCTCCAGTGAGTGCTCTAATGAAGATTGCCAGTCCTCACAGTTCATGCTTACACACAATTTATTTGGTATGGAAGAATTTTGAATCATTTTTGAGGCAATGTGTAATGCAGTATTTTTGTGTACCATGTAAGAGGCCCATATGCACACTATGTTTGTGTGTATCTACATGCACTCGAAGCTAGAAATAATAAGAGGCATGTTCCATGCCTGCCATTTTAACAATGTTATTTCAAGAATAGCTGTGTTCAAATTTATATCCTAGGTCAGGGGTTCTCAGTTCCTTGGGATTGAAATATCCTCAGAATTTACAGAATCTGCACTAATATGCTAGAAAAATAATATATAAATCTTCTCTTTTAGAACTTCTTTATAGTCTATAATTGAACTTTGATCTTTGTGTTTGAGCATTGTCATGATTTAATATTATCCCAAATGAATTGCCAACCTTCAACTTGATATTGGCCAGCTAACTTCCTGATTTTTGAGCCTCTTCAGTTCAGCAGAAAAAGAAAAAAACTTGTATGAAATGTGACTTTAAAGCTATGGTAGTTGTACTGGCAATAGACTATCACAAAATGCACTAAATGATAAATAGATAATTAAATGAAAACATTGCTAACAACTTATAAATGATGCTGTGGGAAATGAGGACAATGTAGGTGGCAAGAAACTCACCTAGGGTTTTGCTCTTGTTGTTGACTTTTTATTTCCAAGTGTAGATAATGAAGGAAGTTTATAGAACTTATTTTCTAAGTTAAAGAAAAAAAAAATAAAAAATCCCAAACTAAAAGAACGTGTAAATTGGAATGGTTACAAATCCTTCAAGATGAATCTAAAAAGCCATTCAAATGCTGGTGAAAGGAACTACTTGTGATTTGGCTTGATAGCCTATAGAACAAGGCTGAGCATATGTTGGTGGTTGCGCAGATAGCAGTGTGAAGATCAACAGTTATTTCATTTCCAGACAAGGGAAAACATCATAATTGTCTCAATGGACCTTGGAGTAATTCAATGTGGTGAATGTAACGCTCATGAGAAGTCCAAATGTAGAGATTAAGATAGCCTATTTGATGTGTTCTGTAATTCTTCTCGGTTATAAAAAAAAAATAGCAATTGATTTGGTGCCCATAATAACTTAAGAAAAGTTAGGAAATATTTCTTTTGATTTACGGAGGCAGTGGGTGTGTCACAAGGATATTTCTCTCTTTGACCACCACATGGACTTTCTGATCTTTTTTGAAACCCGCTGGATGTCCAAACACTGAGCAAAGTGATATTTCCATTGACACTACTCTAATCATGACATAATGATCAGAAATCATTCACATAATTTAAAAGTATCTAATTTTTGAGACCTGCTTTAAGAAGAAGTGCAGCAGCCTTACACTCTTTGAATTTAAATGAACTCTTGTCTCCAATAATACACCATAATTTCTTAAAAGAGACTGGTGTCTACAGTACTCTCTATTTTTCCTTCTTCTTCTTTTTTTTTTTTTTTTTTTTTTCTGAGAAAGTAAAACAAATCTTCTAGCTCATATGCCACTTAATGGTAACTGCTCACAAATGTAATTTTTATTTAATTGATGACCACCACAGATCAACGGTATATAGTAAATCTCCATGTTAAAAGGACTGGCAAGAATCCCAGCTAGCATAAATCAGAGGAGTTCTGTTGACAACCTTGCTGACTTCAGTCAGCTGAGAACCTGGCCCACTTATTGTGTATGCATCGTGGTGTTACTTGGAGTCCAGTCAGTGAAGAGCATGATTTTAATGTCTGACTTGGTATTCTGGCTCTACTCTTGGAGCATTCAGAAGTTGCCTATCAGCATGTGGTTCTTTTGACCGCTTCCAGTATTCTTCCAAAAAATTAATAAAAAATTAATTGCTATGGTACTTTGTCCCATCCCCCTCCTTGCTCATACCTCTCTCTCTCTCTCAATTTTTTTTTTTTGGTTATTCCTTTTCTTTTCCCCTTTTCCCTCCCAGCCTTCAAACAGGTACAAAGAAAGCAAACAACACAGATGTCAGTACAAAACTCTGGTAGTCCAACAGTTCAAATCCAGATGTGGTGGAGTTCACTCTGCAAGCATTTGCTTCTGAAATGCAATTAACTATATTATGTAGATATAATTCATGTTTGTAAAGAAATGGGCACGATACCATTATACCTTCTGTCAGAATTTGAGATTCTGTCTGAGAATTTGGGATGTTAGCAATTCTCTACCCTTTTTTTTTTTTTTTTCCCCTCATAAAAAGTACTGAAATATGAGTTCCTTCCCAGCGTGGCCACATCTCAACCATGTACACCAAAAAACAGTTAAACAATGACATTCTCAGTGAGGATGTGGCTTTTGCGATTTTGTTTTAATTGTTTCTTTTCCAGAAGTATTGTCTCTCCTAGGCTGGGATTCTGCAGCTCAGGATTAGTGGCTTTGCTGCAGCTTGTGAAAGCTGCTCAAAAACAGCAACTCTGTCAGGCTCAGGAGAACTTGAAGCTCCCCAGAACAAACAATTCATTGCAGCTGTAATCTTCATTTTATATTATACAACTTGTGAATGGCCGTTCCCTCCTCTTCTGATGTCTCATTTTATATCTGTGTGCAAAGCTGTCACACGCCCTACTGTTCTGAATAGAAGGTTGAATGCACAGATACAAGGGATGCGTAATGTAAACCATACCACCAAACTTATTGTGAATATATTGCTCTTCTTAAAAATGCTTGTTGTTTTTTCATACTACAGTATTGACTAACTGTCTGTGTTTGATGTATGGTTTACCAGCCTGATGTAGACTTATGGTTAGAGCTTAACTTGTTAGTTCTGCTTTTGCAGCCAATTCAGAATAACTACAGATGCCCCAAGATATTAAAATTGACTGCTCAAATGGACTCAGTGTGGGAGTTTCATTGGTTTTAAATTGATAACAGCTGAAAGAGTGAATGATTAAAGCTGTATATGGGCATAGTATGCAGCTCCTTTGTACAAGCTCTTGTGAACAGAATCCACTGTATGGGAATTGCCTTTGTTCTAATAAAAGATATTTCTGAACAATTGTTAGTTTAAATTTTTAAATGATGAAACAAGAGCATTTCAGGAGCCTATAGAGGAAATAATTCCTGAGAAACTGGAATAACTCTGAGAAGATAAAGTGGATTTCTATTCAGAAGGGAGCATTTAAAGTTAAGTAGCATTCCATAAGGTGGTAATTGTGTCTATTTCCCAGGCATTTGAGTTAAATAAGCTGGATAGGAAACATAAACTGTCATAACAGGAGGTTAGAAGTGTTGTGTACGTATTTTTGGTTTTTTTCAAGTCATAAAAAGTGAAGTTTTGAAGGGCTTTATCATAAATAAATCAAACAAGGGCTTTTTTGCTTCCTTTATCCCTTTGGGAGCAGTTTCTGTTCTTTGAAAAAATGTTCTGGATAGTTTCTCTTCAAACTAGATTTGAATGTACATACTTATAAAAAGAATAAGAAACAAATATTTATACCTTACTTACACATCAATCCATTATACAAAAATTAATAACTTACCATTCAGAGAACGCCTCATTTTTAAAGTGCTGCACAAGCAAATATAAAGTGAGATTTCCCCAGCTATCTCCGTGACCTCTAAGAGTGTAAACATGGTGGTTGTAACTCCTGCAATTCCATGTTTATGTACAGAAACAGATCCAGTAAAAATCCATTGGCTAGATACAGTCACAGCGCCTGTGGCTTAGGAGCACCCAGAATTCAGAATATTTGGATGGCTCATTAGGTCAAGTACTCCAAAACTTTACAGTGTGACTGTATCTGTATACTGAAGGGTGTGTGAAATGGGATTACATCGTTTACTGGAGAAGGTACAGAATGCACATCCAGAAAAGGGGTGATGAAAAGGTGAGAACTGCAGATCTGTTTTTAGACTTATCAAAATATCCTCCCAGGAACAGAGAATGTTCTGCATTCATATTAAAGAATGAAAGAGTAACTGCAAAATCCTGGAAGTGATTATGAAGTGGTTATAACAGAGATGTTGCTGAACTTCTTTGCATTCATTTCCATTCAGTTCCTCACGTACTGTCCATCTAAACACAGTGCAGCTCTTTGCCTGTTTTATTCCCAAAATAGTTTAGAAATATTTTTGTTTTTTTACTTCTTTTTAACATAATTTACATGGGAGAGCATTCTATCTTATGCAAAGAATTTGACAGGTCTCTGCTAAAATTAAAAAAAAAAAAACAATTAAGATGTCAAAAGAGGAAGTGCTAGTACTTTTTAATCATAAATCTCTGTATATGTAATTACCACTGAAGGCAGCTATAAATGTTTTATGAAGAATATGTAACCAGACTGTGCTTTGTCAGAAACATAACCCCAAAACATGTAACAGCCTGTTCGCTGATGCTTAACGCTGCACATGCACACAAACTTCTTCAGTGTCGTTCTGTGAACCCAGTCCTGCATTCCTTCTGCAGCCAAAACTGCTAACTTAAATTCAGGCTTTGGTGCACTCTACCCAAATGCAGATCACATGCACTGGGAGATACATTTGGTGCGTATGCCATCCTTGTTGGTAGGTTGAAAAAGCTTCTCTGGTGAACTCCTGCAAAGCCTTCCCTGTCTTGTTTCTCTGGTTGTTTTTTTCAGTCTGGGTTATTCAGAAAGCAAAAGCAGTCAAGCTGCCCATATCTGTGCTCAGTAAGAAATAGCATTGGTTAATGACAGGAAGGTGAAGCTAGTGTCATTCCAAAGCAGAAAATGAACAAACAGAACTTGTCCTGGTAGTGTGAAAAAGCTGTTTCTTTGAGGAAGAACCATTCAAACTGATTAAGATGAAAGATGGTGGGACTGTCTATGGAGAAAGTGTCCTGGTATCACAGGAACTTGAGGCCTGCAGGCACTCCTGCTGTTCTGGGAATAAAGATGCTTGGTGGCTTTGCCCTACAGAGCCCAACCTTGTGCTTGCTCCCCTCAAATGTCTTCAAAAACATTTTTGAAAGCCTCTACGCCAATTTTCAAAATATATGCTGTTGAAATGCTATATGGGGACTATCTTTTTGTATAAATGATGGTAGTACAGGCCTATTGTTTGAACATTTAACTGGCTCCTATTGAGCAGTTTTGTTCATCTGTTTGATTCATTTTGATTCTAGCTGACAACATCCCCATTACTGATGGCTCTTTTCATAATTTCTCAAACATATAGAGTGGAAATGAGGTGGAGGAAGCTAATTAGTTATCTGAAGAGTTTAGCATGATTATACAGATATGTTTTAGGATGAGCACTCTGTGTTAATCAAAACTTTTGCATGATAAAAATGAAAACATGGCATTATTGGGCTGAATGCTTTTATATCAAGGTGTAACATATGCCATCCTCATTTAGACATTTAGTATCTTCCACATTTCAAACAGGAAATATCAAAATATCCTTTAAGGGTTAGATGAAATTATATTCTGAGTCCCAGTGGTGCAAATTAATAAAGCCCTTGCACCCATATGGTGGTCTATGATGAGAGTGAAACTCCACATGTGGGAGAGGCTTGAGTGTCAAGGTTGGATCGTTAGTTAATATTATGCAGGATTTTGGATTCAGTAAGATTATGGGAGCGTTGTTTCAGAAATGGACTTCACTTCTTTATGACACATTCATACAAATTCCAGAGACCACAGTCTGCAAGCATTAAGATCATGGTATAAATGAAAATTTTAGCTTTAGCCCAGTTGAGGTATATGAGTGTTACTGCAAGTAAACATCAAGAGCTTTGTTACTGGGGCTGAAGCTAATGAGCATTAGGACTCACAGAGGATTTATCTCCAACTTTGTCTGCCCACCTTCCATACTTGAGTTTTTATTGATATACAAGCTCAGAAAAGAGAAAAACCCTACTGCTAATAACATGCTTAATGTATTGTGCTGTGCTTTTTCTTTTTTTTCCCCTCAAAATGTAGATCAAATTTTTGGCTCCCATTTGCACTTGGTATGTGAACATGAGAATTCTACGGTCCCCCGGTTTGTGAGACAGTGTATAAAAGCAGTTGAAAAAAGAGGTGAGTACCTTGGTATTTAATACTGTATTTTGTTTCTCTGTTAATACGAAAAGTTTAACCTTGAAGATCTTTTCAAATGACCAGAGTAGTCAGGCAGATGGTTCTACAATGTAGTAATGGATTGCACTATGTCCCACTCTATACCTTCATTTTCTTTATGCAATAAGACATTAATAAAACCCATTCATGATTATTCTTCCTTATATCTTCTTTGACATATTGTTATTTTAGTCTTTTTCCAGGTAAGCAAATGTTAAAAACTGATAAAATGTCAGCAAATTTCTTTCTGAAATTTCTGGTGAACATAATGCTTTATATATGTTTTAGTAAGTTCTGAGTTGTATTCAATGACAATTAATGTTGTTCTAGTGTGACCATGTGACCACCAAATTTTATCTTTTTTTAATGTATGCAAGAGCCTAGTTTTTCTTGTTACTTTAAAAAGTAATAATACTGTAAGGATAATGGAATAAGTATTCATCCTCATTTAAAGTTTTAATGAATTTATTAAGACAGACTTTCTTAGTAGAAAAAGATGTGCTTAACACCATTGCCTTCCTTCCTTCCTTTTGGCTGTATCTTCTCTCACTGAAGGTCATTTTCTTTGGAAGGTACATGCGGTAGATGCAGAATCTTAAAATGTATTGTATAAAAATGTGAGGCTTCATCACCATCTGTTACGAGTTTACAACTTGTTCCAGGGATCTGGGGAAACATATATCTTGCAAAAGATAGAAAATTTATTTTCAGAATAAGACTGGGTGAACCCATTGTCACTGCCATATACTGGAGTCTCAGAACAAAAGAACCAATGATAAATAAAAAGACATTTAGACCCTTAACCACAAAGGAAAAGGCTATTTTAATTCCATCATTGCTACCTGATTTTATAGTGAAAGGTGCAATAAAACTACCCTGGAGTTTCAAACTCTGGGAAATTCATGCTTTAATTATACAGCAAAGAGAGCACTGGGATATTACTATTCCCAGAATGATTGGCAGGAAGTCAGAGACTAACAAACTGGAGACCGCTCAGTAGGGGGAGATGGTAGCATTGGTTTCTTGGTGGAAGACTAGAGGATGGATGAAAGGAGAGAGACAAAGAAAAGGGATATATGAAATGTAGGAAGGGCTGCTAATAGTGGAGGAATTGTAAGGAGAAATTCAGAACTCGACATAGAAAGGCAGAGATTATATGATAAAAATGCCACTCCATGTAGAACATTTCTGATTGACTGCTTGGTTCTGAACTCAGCACGGGTTCTCCAAAAGATGCATTCGATACTTTATGGATGATTTGTGGTCTCTGATCACTACTCCAGGAGAAATAAGGCCAAAGGTCTCTGCACTGCTGAACTGTAATAGAAAAATCCAAGAAACCTCATCAGATGTTTATTGTCTGTATGAAATATGCACAGAAGAAAATATCACCAAATTCATCCTTTGGAGTATTATCCTATTGTACTTGCGTTTCCTTCAAACTTGCTATAACACAGAGGAAGTCCATCCCTTTTACATACACACTTCAGTCTACTGTGTATGTACATAAAAGCTAATCATGTGGCATGAGATAAAAATTTTAATTTGATCACTGTACTTATGAGTTTATATCTGATATAGTTTTTTATATTATCATTTTCTTGGATCAAGATGCGTGCATTTACTCACATTCTATTTACTCAGAGTGTTGTTTTTACTAAGTTCTGGCATAAACTATCTCAGGACAGCAGTAATTTATGTGAAGTTAAGTCCAATGTTTATGCAAGCTTCTGATGACATTTTATACCGGGGTTGGTATTAGGAAGCAGTATGTGGAGGTGCCAAGTCTCCCGGCATGGCTGAGACTCAACAGATCTGAAGTCCTCCTCTTAATGGCCAGATACGCCTCCAGCCAAGATACTCAACTGCAGAGTCATGGGAAATACTTATGTACCAATTATGGGAAAGGCACATTTAATGAAAACTGTATGTTTACTTTCATAGTCTTAGTAAGATGGCCTAAATACTCAGTACAGCTGGCATATTGGCTGTTGAAAGAAAGCTTTTTTTTTTTCCCCCCAAAGTTGCTTTTTTCCTATTTAGAAAATATATCATCTAAATAATGTAACTGTACCAAAAAACGTTACTTGTGTGTTTCATTTACTGTAAAGGATTACTGGGAAAAAAGATCTTAGGAGACTAACCCTAAATGTTGCTTCCAAAATACTCATACTTCGCTGTATGGTTGTGTTCTTATTTATGAGCTCATAGTTTTAATTATTATTTATCTATTGATTTTTCCTGTGTGTGTGTGTGTGTGTGATTTTTTAAAACTGTGCACAGAAAGTAAGATCTGAATAAGCCATATTAATTAGTATATGTTCCTGTGTGGATGAGGTTACATACAATAGCCAACTGTACTAATATTCTCCCACCACAGATTAAAAATGTAGAGGGTGTCATTAACTGTTGGCAAGATTTCCTGTTTAGTTACACTATTTTTAAATGAATATCTACATTGAAATCAAGGAATTATTCTGATCTTTTTCTGCAACTTAGATCAGATTTTGGTTGTTTGTCCCCTAGGCTATTGTTTGCTCATTCACCACTTCAGGACAGAGGTGCTTTATAAGGTCTAGTATAAAATTTCTCACTCCATAATGCATATTTATCTGTCCAACAAGAATGCATTTGTTCAAGAGTGAATTCCATTTTTTTTCAGCTTCTTTTTGTGTTTATTGAAAGAAAACTGGAAAGCAGAGAGTCTTTATCCATTCAATCAGCCATCTTGCAGAGCTGGTAGTGGAGTTTAATACAGATAGCAATTAAATATGTACACATTTTTGTAAACTTGAAAGTTAATTATCTCTCTTTTTTTTTTTTTTAGTGAGGAGAGAAAGTAATGTTTGTGGGTTTTTTTCTTCATTTTTCTTTTATGCATTTACAAATGTTGATGAAATTCGTGCCCCAAGTACTTAACTGTACAGATCTGTGCCACTGTGGTCAAAAGCATTTTCTCAAAGACTGTTGGACCCTTGGCACTGAATGCAGTGTCCTTGATAGAAAAATCAGCTGAGTATATGATGTGATTGGGAAAAGGAATAATTTTGAACCATGCATCAGTCAGGTTGAAGAAATACAGTGGCTGCTCAAAGATTTCTATCATTTCACTTTATGCTTTCTCAGGGGTTTGAAGGGAAAGTTTTTCAGAGTGGGTTTTGTTGGGGGTATTCTGTCTGCCACCAACACCTACCTTGGATAGACCTTGAGGTGTTCCGATCTGTTGACCTGCTCCTTTCAATCCATGCTTGGCCATGTTATCAGGAGGTGTCATGTGGGAAGCATCAAGCCCACAAAGCTGAGCCTGCGACAGTCCTCCGTGCGCAGAGTCCATGTGCCATGTGCTCCTGCCAAGGGTGGGGTCCATTGCAAGACTTCTGGTGTTTCCAAGCCAGATATGATTTCCAGTCATTTCTTGAGTCTCTTATTTATTTTGTTATACACGACCCTTTAAAAGTCCTGGCTGGTTTTTTTTTGCATTTTTTAAAGTAAGTGAAAGGCATGAGTAGAACGCATACAAAAAATAAAAATACCAGTCTGCATTGTAGCTAAACAAAATGCCATCTAGTACTTCTCACAGTAAAGTTTTATTGTGTGAAAGTAGCCTGATATGCAACTCTTTTCCAGGGATGATCATCTGTCTGTGTGTCTAATGACAGAGTAAATGAACACCCCAAGCAGTCAGTATCCTAAAACTACTGGGGGTATCCAGTATACTTCAGATTTTGTAAAGAAATACAGTACTAATGCTCCAGGGAAATATAATTTAACTTTCATCTCTGTTTTGAAACGTCCTTCATTGTCTCCCTATATTCCCAAATCCACATTAGTGCTCTCAAATCAGCGTAAATGCCTTAAAAATGACACTGCAGGCAGCAGATCTCATGATTACAGGTACAGTTTTTGTTCTAAGCTGGACATTGCAGACATTGTTTTCTGTTGCTTTTCTTGGAGCACAGGATGCTCTGACAGGAATGATACACAAAATTACATATTTGATTCAATGCCTAAAAGCCACCCTGGGATCCATAACCTTGCTTAAAGATTTAAGGAAGACCTTTAGTCTACTTCTGAGGAGGTTCTTAGCTTAGAAAACTTTATCTTTCAACTTTACTTCTTAGCAGCTGTTATGTTTTTTTGCTGTCGTTTGTTTGACAGGATCCAGTTATAGGTTCCGATGTCTGTTTAAAGAAACAGGGAGGTTGTTGGCTTTAAAATTCCCTTACTGCTTGTGTGTTCAACATTTTCCCAGGCTTTTCTACATAGTTTGCCAAGTAAAGGGACTGACCTTTTGTAGCAAACACTTTTTCATTTCTAAATGCTCACTTTGATTTTTGTCCCATTTTATGCTCATTCCAAACTGTTTACAACCCACTAAAAATGACTGTGAATTATATGTTTGTGTAATGGATTCCTTTTGTGGTTGGAGTGGAATGTTTACTTTGAACAATTAGTTATCTTTGGGCAGATTATAGTGACCTGAAAAAGGAATGGCTAAAATTATTATAGTACCTTAACTATTTCCTTTTGTTATCTTCTCTGTTTGGCCAGTGTATTATTTACTGGGTTTCATTGCTGTGAGTCCCAGTGAACAAATCATGTTAAATGAGAATGGTGACAAAAACCCCAGAGTGTGGGGAGCTCATCCTGAGGGGAGGGCTTTTGCTTGGGTTGGGCTGGGTCCTTGAACAAGGCTTCAGAAATGACCATTAAGCCCTGAGAGGATGTATGCGTGCACAGACTTCAGGAGACACAGTTGTGAGAAAAGTTTCAAGTTGAAAACCAAATTTTGTTAAACGCATCCAGAGTTTGACACCTCAAAGCATCTAAAATAGATACTCGGTTTGGCCTTAACTACAATTTGATTAGGCATAATATTATTGTAGGATTGCACACAAAGTCTCGTACACCAGAGTCTTTAGTGTTTGAGAGAGAAAATGTCTTGAGCAAAGATAAAGTAC